GCAAAATATGTGAAACTGCGAGGTTAATCTGGAAAGATATCAATAAAAAAATTTAAAAATAAGAAAAATCTTTTGTTATCCTTATTCAGCGATAAATGTTTCTGGTTCCTTGTTTTCCCCACTCGAAAAATAGCAAATTGAAACGAGTTCGTTACACCTTTCTGCCATTATTATAGAGAATTAAATGAATTGAATTATTTCCGAGCATTCTGGTTGTTCTTTTGGCTCCTGACTGAGTTGTCCAGAGATCATTCGCTTTCAGGATATGCATACGTAATTGTATTTAAATTTGAAAACGTGTGAAATAAAAAGTTTGTGCATATAAAAACAGTGTATTGTAAAAGAACAATTGTATAATAATTCTAATTCTAGTGCAAAACTGATTTAAAGGAAACAAATCTATCTTCTCTCTATGAATGCAATACAGGACAATAAAGGTTTCATCTGTAAATTATTCACAATATTCTAGAATCAAATAAAATATGAAATGCAGAAATGGGCATAAATTAAACGTATGTTTTGAATTTGTTTTATTTATTTGCTTGAATATCATTTGTAGACATAAGTTGAAATGTAAACCTTATTGTCTAATATGGTGAAACTTTTCTTAATAAACTTATATTTTCAGAATGTCTTGCATTTCTTAAGAATACACGAATGGTTTCTTTCCTGATAGCAGCCGCAAAAATAGATCCATAACTAAAGCAGTTTCCGGACCATAGCAGTTTTCCGGCCCTTTATCATTCTCGTCCAGTATAGTCTACTTTTTGCAGTAGGGCATGTATGTTTCATAGACATTTCTTTTCTATGCAACACAGCAGTACATCAATTAAACAGCAGTCGAAAAAGTACATCAATTAAAATGTTTTGAAGTTTTGCCTGTTGTATAAAGTTACCTTAGAGAACTTGCAAAATATGAACACCTGGGGAATCTAGTTGAATGTCTTTGCGCAATAACCGACACCCCATTCCAGGTAAATCAATAGTTTTGAACAATATATTTGCAGACGACACGAAGAGGTTTGGAAGTTCTATTTCTTTTTGATAAAATCATCATTAATATTTCTTACTGGTATTAAATTATGTTCTAAAATATAAAAGGTCCGAAAAACTGTTATGAAATGTTGAATAAAAATGAGAAAACATGTTACATTCAACAATGTTATTTCTGCTGAAAAAATAGACTTTGTCACATATGGTACATATTAATTAACTTTTAATTAAGTGATTGCAGATGTTCTACATGCAGTCAGAGTCTTTCAGTCTACAACAAAGTAGACTAAAACCAAATTGAAACTTATCATTAGTTCCATATGTGCACATAGATGTATCATCCTAATAATTATGATAAGCTCGTGTGGTTGAATATAAGTGTCCATAACAGAAAAAGTGTTATATCTTTCAACATCACTTTTGTCCTTTATGTTTTGTTCACGCTAATCTTTCTTTCTCTTCACGCTAATCTTTCTTTCTCATTCTGCATGTGTATTTTAAATATTTTTTGTACAGGAAAATAAAATTATACCTGTACCAACTAAAACATTAAGTGTATGACACATGCATTCTTTTACATGAGGTCATACGCCGCTTTCCATGGCACGAATGCCATATCATTATTCAAGATACACATTTCTGTAAAAAATACAATAAAAATTGAAACTCGGCGCCCGGTATGCGCGTGACAGCTGTTTGGTATTATAAGCGGGCCGAAACATGATGTTGGCATGTTGCATTACGGATTGGTACCATCTGACGTCAAATAAGGCTATACAGTGAATAAATCACGTGAAGTATGATAAAATAAAGTGTGCAACTAATTAAGGCATCCTTTTGCCTTTACCTTGAGGTATAGCATACTACATATTTGATACAGCAAATGGCAAAGATGACAAATTACAATTGGTCACAGATGGAACAGAATAACTATCATGGATATTTTGTATATGCTGGCAATATTTACGTACTATATGTATTAAATTGCTCTCTTGCTACATATTTGAGACCAAACTGAAAATGAATATATGTCAACAGATAGCTTGAATTGAAAATTCAACACATGAATGAAACATGACAGAGACATTTTAAAAAAATAATTGTAGAATCATCACCAATATCATTAGCATGTTAGATTACCAAATCGCCGAAATTGATTGTTACATTAATGTACCATAACCTGACATTTTACCATATTTATTTACTATAAATGTTGATTATTACTCATGGTTTTGACTTTGTTCGCTATCTGAAACAACCCCTTGAAGTGTAGTTCATGAAATGGCGATTTTGCATGCTTGTAGTTGTGGTAACACGATTTTAATAAATGTAATAAAAACTGATTGGAAATATTGACATACATCCATGCTAGCATATCTAACTCTAAAAGAAAGTCTGAAAACTTATTGTTTCTAACTTAGTCGTTTTTGAACATGATGAGTATTGTTTCAGTTTAATCAATTAGCATCCGAAATTTCACGAAACAATACAGACCGTACTTTACACATAATGTATCAACTGCCTAACAAATGATGACATAGCATAAAACATATATCTATTTTGATGATTATTTGAAGTTATTTCTTTCCCTATTATAATAATTGATTCAAATTTATGTTTTATTTCAACAAATCGGCAAGAAATCGTCTTGTCTCTTGCGACGAACAATATCATATGAAAAACAGACGGCCTGTTCATTATTTTCCAGGACGTTATATTACATTTCCTAAATTAGCATAAAAATGCGATACAAACAATATCACAAACAGTTTAACATACCAAGGGCGCCAACACAGTCTACTTCTATATTTTTCAAATCCTTGTCAGTTTTATAGATGAAATAATTATAACTGATATAATGTTTGTAGCCTATCTTGAGCTCATCAAATCTGTCCTTACATTCCTCCCTTTCATATTCCAATCTGGACAACCATTCATTATTTAAAGTAAATTTGGCTGCAAAGCTAATAGTGCAGACAACCTATGTGCCGACTGATCTTGGTATATACATGTGCACTGGTCTAATGGACCGCAATCAGACTGTGGATTAAAGTGCGTCGCACCCCTAATTTTTTAAACAAAAGCCGTCATCTTGGTAACCGAAAGGTATATTTTTATCTACTATCTATGCTGTTAAATATAGATGATTGATAATTGACATTCGGCGCAAATTTACTTGAAAAATCAAACGACATTACGGTGTCCTATTTTAAAGCAATATCGCTAACTGACATGCGATATTTTGACTATATTGCTTATGTCGATCTTCTATTCAATAATGCATGCAGATAAAGTGGAGAGATACTATAGCGACATATAAATTTAAAGGCATGTAATATATTCGCATCTTTGACAGTCGGAATATATTATTGCAAGTTTGCTAAATGCCGCTTTATTTGCTATAATAAAAATGTTTATTCACGCTTCTTTATCAATTTGTCTTTTTATGGGTTCATATTTTCAGCTTTACTGGTGGAGGAACATCTCAAGTGTCCATTTGTACATTATCATTTAAAGTTGAGTAGAACCACCGACGTTTCGTAAGCTAGCTGGATAGCTTTCTCACCAAGAAAGAATTTGTAGACCCTGGCGCGGCTCGAACCTATAGTGGTGAGAGGCAAGTGGTTAGAAGCTATCGACCGTAACCAATAATCGACTGACGCCCCTTCATTATCTTATGAAGAGGAGCAAAAGGTAAAAGATTTACTAAAGTCAAAATGTCAATTGGAGACCAGAAATTACGAAAAAATTGCAATTGCGGTGCATTGATAATGCTAGTTTACCTCTAAAATTGAGCTGTAGATTGACAGTACAGTTGTAGTTTTATTAATTGCACGCAAACACTTAAACTTGTCTAGAAAACAGTTATTATCAATTGCTGCCATTCGTTAATATGACCATTAACGAAGGAAAGTTTATCTTAGTTAACTGAAAGGAGTTTCTATGCAGGTCAGATCCTAAATGATGCTCCGTGTTACATCTGTACTTAGAAGTCAGATCGCAGATTGCTGTCCGTCACCAGGACGTCAGTCGCCAACAATTAAGCCCTATAAATGCATATTTTTACTTGTCAGCAAGATATCAGTATCACAAGAAGAAAGCAGTTGAATGACACTTTCGCACAGTTTGTTACACCAATCATTAGAAGGTTCCAAGTGACCTTCATCGGAAGAATCAAAGTCATTTGTTGAAACGACATGAAAGCCCCCAAAGAAATGCAACATTGCCCGAATTTGCATGACAAAGCTTTAATTTTTAATTTCATCTCAACAATATTTCAAATAAAACATCGATTAAACAAGATTAAAACAAAATATTTTAGTCAGTTTTTAACTAAACTGGACAGATAAAAATTTATATCTTTAAAGTTAAAATGATGTATAGCATGGTTAAATGATTAAAAATATTTAGTGTTACCGCAATGTTTCTACGTTTATTCAAAATTAACACAGTTATGACGGTATAATCTGACTGCAATGTATATTTGTTATTCCAGGTAACTTGTAGACTTTTATCATTTTTGTTAGATCTTGCCAGACATTTCGAAACCGGATAGTCAATATACAATTATTGCATTGTATTTTGTTGCATATATTCACATAAAGAGTTTTATCGATGTTCTCCTTGATTCTCGATTCCAAAGAAATTATCAAAGCATGACGAGATTGTTCTATTGTTGTTTGTTTCCCCGAGCTCTTTGCTCGGCGTTTCACATACTGTATCAGAACCAACGAAAATATCTAAGAAAAGTGTATAAAGTGATATGACGTGAATAGTTTAAATAAGGAAACTACATGTATGTAAAACTTGCATACAATAATATTGTTTCGCTTTTCCCCTAAAAATAGAAAATATATCACAAAACCTATTTTCATGCCTTCAAATTATCGAAATACGACCTGTAAATGCTGTTTAACTATCAAAATTCTGTACCACAAAAAAAAAATTCTTTTACTTACAAACATTTCGATAAACCACAATAGTACTCCGTGTGAAACATCCTTCCAGTCTATTAAGGTTTTATTACAAACTGCATTACATGTATTTCTTATTAAAAAAGGTTATTAAGTAATGTCAGCAATTTATATTTAAACATCATTTTTTCTCAAAGAGATGGTGAATTTGAACGTTTATTTCTTCTTCAAGCTAATAATTAACCGATCTTTTTAACATATTGTGAATAGAAACAAATACCATTCTAAGCAAAATACAGGGAAGCATGTTTTTAAAATTTAAAATGAATTTTCTGCGCAATTGTGTAAGTATCATGCTTTGGACATGCATATATAGATCACATACCAACTTTTGTGGTTAGATATAGTCATGTACTCAAATGCATGTTATTTTTAGTATACCTCGTAAACTGAAAATATATCCAAATCCTGGAGACGCTAACAAGAAAATAGCTAAGACATAGACACGTGATTGGTCCTGATAGTATTTATAATTTTAGCACTTAATCCAACTGATGTTTGGTCAGAAATGTTAGTTTTAGCTGGTCTTTATATTGTTTTTTTACATGCGCAGGTGATATTTTTAAAATGAAAAATAATGAAAAATTCTGATTTTCAAAAGTTGATGACATAGGATCAATAAAACACAATTCCTTCTAAAACTTAAATAACATGTTCTAGTCTATTATTTGTTACTTTACATTTTATTGATATTATGTAAAAACGTCAAGAAATATGCAAGTAATTAGTTGAAATCAATATCAAGTATATACATTTACAAAGCTTTTGGAATGTTGAAATAATACTTTTTTGCAACAATATTCATAAAGCAAATTCCTGACTTCATGGCATTTTTAAGGAAAAAAATAATTCAAAAAGAATGTTTCATAAATACATAATGTATTTTGGAAACCCAAAAATGAACATTTTAGAAATTGAATGCCTAAAATGTAATGCCTACAATTCTGTACATCTGAAATTCAATCACAGTTCAAGTTGATAAAAAGTGGGTAAGAAATTAGAATTGAAAAGGCATTTCTTTTCAGCTATTTACGTCTATCTCAATGATAACCGGAAGGAAATGTTTTAAGTGCCATTTAAAGTTACAATGGTCAGAATTTTGACAATAAGCTGTGTGACTCTATATTGATTGTATTCTTACATCAGAGATTTCAAATCATAGTTATTTCTTTCAATAGATTTCTGTGTGTTCTAATTTAAAAGGAGAAAACTAAACTGTAATATCAGCTCAAGAAATAAAATTTAATACCTTACATATTAGATCTTCATTGACAAAAGGTTTTACTTCACACAAAAAACTGATATTTTGGTCCCAAACTTAAGTCTTTATATTATATAAAAATTTCTTTAGATGAAACATGGTCACATCTCCACATTTTCAATTTGGTTCCAATCTTAAACAAAATAAGACATATCTATATAAATATGAAGCCAAATACCTAACATTGAACAATTCCTTTTAATAATAGCATGATAAACATGTACATTCAACTAAAATCTTAACACTGTAAGTCCTATTCTATCAAACAATATCTTCAGAGCATTTGATTCCGAAATATTGAGCTTACATTGAAAAACAAAACTGATCAACTATCTTATTCAAGAGATTAATTAAAAAATAAGTTTTTCTGGTATTGCTTATATGAAACCCAAGTAAGGTTTTCTTATTTCTTAAATTTGGATTGCAATTCTTCCAAAGTAAGATCAGCCAAATCGTTAACTTGAAATTCTTTCTTAAAGCCAGTACAGGCCTTCTTTAGTGCACTTTTTGAACTGGAATACAACATTTTCTGTTTGATACCACATTCTTCATCACTGCACCTGAAATATAAATTAAATCATTAGCATGTATCATTATAATTGCCCTGTACAACTGCCACTATTATAAAATGCAATTTTGTGGACGAAATGTCAAACGCACACACATGTCTTATTTAAATAGGGAGACATGATAAGAAGAAGACGTATTTTTGTTTTGTTTTTTTTGTTAAACATTTATTGGTAGAGTATTTTAAAGTTAAACATTTGAATAAGGTGAGTCGGAACACTTAATCAGTCAAAAGAACATGCAGGTCAACGGTGATAAAATACGTCAAATATTAAGTAAATCAACACTGAAAACATGTAAAACAACAACTAAACTAAAACCTAAATGAAAAGAAGTATCAAAGACAACAATCAAAACCTTTAAATGTGGAAGAAACTGCTTCAAACTTTAATGTAGAAATTCCTATAGAAGCTGGTTTAATTAGGTTGAAAAAAAAAAACTGCTGATGAAATGTCAAATGTACCTTAGACAATGGAGAAGTTGCGATGCGATGTTTATCAAAAAATGAGAATATAGCTGACAGAGTTGAAAATAATCTAACAAAAAAAATCCATTAACTTTTTGGATAAAAAATTGCATACAGAAAGGAAAAAGAAAAGAAAGATAGATACTAAAAAGCAAGTAAATGAGCTGAGAGATGAAGTGAATACAGCATTAAGAAATTCATAAGAACAATTTTATGTGCTTACAAGTAAGTTGAATGGAATCAATATCAAAAAGACAGGAAACTGAATGTACGTATTTTAACTCTAAAGAAAGAGAGAATGTAAATGCGTTTGATATTGTTTCAGACCTAACACCAGATGTACTAATGTTATCATATGTTGAATTTCAATAAAATACCAAGTATTGTTTATAAATATGAGGAAATATCACAATATTTGCACCTGTTTTTCAATTATTGTAATGATAATGGCCATGTACCAAAGTGCGTGGTAAAAGAAACATTAATCCTATTCCGAAAGGATCTACAACAAATACTTAATGCCCCCTCTTATACCGTGGTATATCTTTTACAAAAGCTAGACCAGATATAAATATAATTCAAATATTATCTGTGAATTAATCATTTGACAATAGTAATTGTGAGACATACATGTAAAGACAAACTAAATGCATTACAAAGTTGTTCTGGAATCACTTGACCAAAATACGAGAATCTTATACATTACAATTCCATTTTGAATGAAATGGGTAATGTCTCTATAAAGTTTCACAAACTTAATTTAATCACTTGTTTTACAAATACAAAAAAGTTTAATAAATAGAATAATTTAATCTAAGTAAGTAAATACTGCTATCAAGAATCTTAAATATACATTAGTACTTTCTATAGTCTAGGTAATAACATACCAAACTATCATAGCCATATCTCCTTTTGCTCCTTTATGTGCTTTCTCATCTTGGTCTGATTTTAGAACGTCATAAAACGCATATCTCCCTTCACCAGCTTTGGCTGCTGCATCCATTAGTGCCCTGAAATCATCAAATGTTTCTTCTGAAAAGGTAATAAAAACTTCATGTTAATCTTGATATTTTAGTAACAATTAACTGTTTGATACAAAGTGCACCAAATCATGCTTTCTCTTGTTGATTTTTCTATAACTCATTTCTATTCATTGTAGTGAAGTCAGAAACAGCTGAAAAAGTTTCCATAGTGGATTTATCTTACATTTAACATTTATAAATGGTTACTTTTTAATATAACGAACTTCAAAATGAAATGCAGTTATTTAGCAGACTAGACCAAACTCCTCAGGTAAATAATTTTACAATTTATTAAATACACATTTTTTAAACAAAATATCATCATACCAGGCTTAGATTTGTACTCGACTATAATTTCTGAATTGTTTTCATTCAGTTTCATTATAACAAATCTTCCAATTTCTTCCTCTCCCTCATCCTTAACATGGGATGTCTCTGGTCTCATTAACTTTTCAAATACCTTCTTGCATTCACTATTTGCTTTTACTCCTGAAGCCTATAAAATAAAGGTAGTATGTTTAAAACAAGAGTGTTGTTGTCACAGTGCCACTGTTTTAAATAGTGCCTTCACAAACGTTTCCGGTAAAGATGTTAAAGGATAAAAAGATGTGAAATAAGTTTGACTATTCCTCGTACTGGATAGTGTGTCATATGTTTTTAATGAATTTAAAGCTTAATGAATATACATACGAGTATAAAAGTCCGAAAGAAATTACATTGTAAATGAAAGTCAAGAGAAATGTCAAGGATATCCTACCTTAGGGTATCAATATAAATTTTTAAGGTGAGGTTTAGGATGTGAATGATAACTTCACATGTAAAACTCTAAATGTGATTTAAGCTTGCAAAACAAAAGAGCTACAGCCGGCAAACACAGCAGGGGTTAGTTAAAACGTTCTTACAACTTACACTTTCAACTCCGTGAAACTAACAAGTACTGGTGGCATATAAGAAAACATGGCCGTGACTCGAGTAGGGCTCAAACACATGATCCCTGGGTTGGTTGAGAGGCAGACACCTTTACCACTAGTTCCCCACATCAGGAGATCATTGTAGTAAAAGGTTTTCAAAAACAATATTTTGTCTGTACATAACTGATTTAAAATTTCATATCACATTTCACAGTTAAAGTAATTTACCTATCAAGGTCATGATGACATTTTGTTTAATTGTCCATATTCAGGGTCATTACAGTTGCTTTTTGAAGTGAATAAAATATATTCATTAATAGCACAGTTACGGTTAAAGTCAATAACTTGATCTTGTCATTTTAATGTAAAGGTCAAAATTGTAAGTGTAAAACAATGACACAGGAAATACATGTTTTGACCGAGATGACCGATATTGTTACCTAAATTTATTTTTTTCAAAAATATCGCGACTCAAATGTTTACAAATTTATAGGCTGTCTGTGATAAGTATGAAAACCTTTACTTATACAATTTCAATATGTTCCATTGATTGTTTGGTCTATAGATACGGTAAAATTAGTCCAAACAATTAGATTTGTCAGAAACATTGAATTTTATAAACCTTACCCATGAGCATCATTCACATAATCTGACACCCATTAATAATAATGATCATGATTGAAAAAAAAACTTCCATACTGCTTAAATTTGGTACCCTTCCCTGGTTAAACAATTTCTTAAGCACTAACATTCATGTTAAATATATCGGTTACATTGTCATTCAAAGCTATCCTACTACTATAATCTTGTTAAATAAATCTTGCAGTCTTTTCCAGAAAGTTATCCGCTTCTGAATCAACTTTATCAATGTTCTGAGTATTTTTTGTAATATGTCTCTGAAAATATTTCTGATATTGTCACAAAAGACTAAACATTTCTCAAAAGTTTAAACAGCATTAAATCAGCTTTAAGGTATTCTAAAATCCACATTTATGAATGGATTCAACAATGCCTACAAAAAACCTGACGACCCGCTTGACTTTAAACTGAAAAAAAACTTGATCGTCTCACTTCTGTATTCGAGATCTAGATTTGTGTTTTTTAAAGGAAAATCTTTTTATTCTTGGAAAATAATAACTAAAGTTAAATGGTGTGCAAGAAAATAAGCCAACTTACCATTTTGTGGGTCGGAACTGATCTCGTGTCAAGTTAATTTCGGCAAAAACTCCCCTTTGTAAATCGTAAATCCGTTGCAAATTCGTATGTAACGATGATTGTTTTATTTGACTGGACAAAATGAAATAACGTGTATATTTAAGTTTAAAGAACTTATAAAATAATAAAAGTTCGGTAAATTCTAAATGTATTGTATGAATAAAATAAAGTTAGCAAAATTATTTATATGTTTTATAAATGCAATACGTGAGTAATTTGTGAAAGCAGAGTACACGAGTTTGCCTTATATGGCAATAGAAGCCCATATGATAAGTCACATGCTACTGTTACGAAATGCGGCGGGAAAATAAAAACAACTTTCTAAAGAGGAACAAACTAATTATTGCGAAAACATAAAAGCATTTAAACAAGAATATGTCAGAATCTATAAATAAATATTTTCTCATATCTGTATATATCTGATGTGCAGTAAATTAGTGATTTTATAAATCTATCTGGGTGCGTTTCGTCGTAAGCAAATGACTAAATTTAAGACTAGTATAAAATTGTCTTGGACGATTTTTATTATTAGATCGACTCTATTTTTGTGATAAATGAAATTACAAAAAAGTTAAATCTTAATCCCGTAACCTTATTTCTTATTTAGATTGATACCGAGTGCAGTTGTTAACGCAAGCGTGCGATATAAAGCGGTTATTTTTAGCCATAGCTGTATTTAGTTTGTTTTGACCTGCATTGTATGTTAATGCATTGTATATCTTTGCATTTTTGATAATCTGCTCTATTTTCAGTGACATTTAGTTTAAAATTTTCCATTCCCTTAAACTAAATGTGACATTAAATAGACAGATTATTTAAAAACGCAAAGATAAAAAGTGGGTTTAAATTGAAACAAAGGGTTATTATTTTTTTCCCAGGTTTAATTAAGATTCAATTTGTTTTCAAATCGTCACCCTATTATTTGAAATTATGAGAATATTTTTCTTGTTCTATTGTTTTATATTAATGTTTGCCATCCGATCGTATTAAGTTGTAGCCTGTAAGGGAGACTTAAATGAAGATGATCCCCACTTTAATCACACTTCCTGACATACTAATTAAAGTTTTGGTTTTAAAGATGCCGCTCAAACAATATATTTGATGAAGCCGAGGAGATCAATAGTAGCATTAAGTAACAAACTGTTTCTATAAACCAAAACAATGTTTTTGCGAGAGACATGTGGTTATTTTTCAATAATCGGGTACATGTATTTAAATTAAAGTGTTGTGTAGTAGTATATACAGTCTATCCAAAATAGATAACGCTCCAATGGTTTATGAATACTATATATGGTTACGTTAAGTTTACCTTCCTTATTTGTACACACTTACTATATACAGGTGAATCGTACTTTTTAAAGCACTCGTATGAATAATGATTTTAAACTTAAAACTCTGACAATAGGCTAAATGACACTTATTATGACTTAGATATTTTCTATGAGCCATAGAAATTTTTTAAAAAGTTTTAAATAATGTGATTTTAAATTGAATTAGTCAGCGGCGGCCTTTCTGTTGTTGTTGTTGTTGTTGTAATTGTTGTTTGGGATATTTTTTAATCAATCTGATCGGATCCGTCTTCACATCATTACTGTACAAAAGCGAAACGGTCTTATTGTTGAACAAAGTATATACACTTGTAGAATTGATAACAGAAACCTAATTTACAAATTACTACAGATAGCTTATAAATTGTGTTGCTATATTTATAATAAGGATAATATCATGCTCCATGGAGTGAAGATACTGTCAGGACTTGTTTCCTCATTTCATAAAATGCTTTGACAGCTTCGGACAAATCCGTGATAATTTTTTTGTTTAAAATATCTCAAGTTTGAAATAGATGAAGGGGGATATACACATTCACCACTTACTTAGAGTCTCGCATGCCAAATGTGTCTTTACTTAAGAATGTTACAGGCGTCGAAGGAAAAATGCTGCCGTTGTAGGCAAAAAGTGTTTTCCAGACTGCCGATGATGGCAGAAACGCCCCAAAAGTGGGTAACATTCTGACAGCAAATCAAGATGTTTCTTTTATCAATTTCTTTGTTGTTAGCGTACTTTTTTCCAAACTTGAAACGTAAACTATCAATTGTAATATTTCCTCAAACCGAAAAAGTAACTAATGCGATAGGTGCATTGAAATAAGCCTTTTATGGACATGTAGTTACAGGACAAAATATGATTCACTACGACCAAAGTACACTATAAATTAATGTGAAGAATGTAAATGTTTATGTTTATGCAAGTTATCATATCAGGGGTTTTAACACCATTCCAAAAGGGCAGATAATCGTAAATTATTTTTGCGAATTTAGGCCCCATTTTTACTTATATTATTTTCTCTTACAAAATTTCTCAAAAACTGCCAAGATTTATCATTTCATACTCGGAATACTTGTTAATTTTTGAAATTGCAAAGAATTTCTAAATAGCAGGTAACTTTTCCATTCATTTAATGTCTTGGTTAACCTTTTTGTTAACTGCATTTGCAGTGGAGGGGGATAATCCTGAAAGTCTTGTTTGCTTCATTTTTTCTTTTTTTTTCTTTTTATATTTTTGCCTTTTTCTCAAAAACCGTGTATGGTGAAGGTTGGAATTTTTGTTGACTATCAAAGGCAGGTAAGTATGCTAAACACGCTTGTAGAATTATTCCCCTTTTTACATATTGCTTTAATACTGAGAAATGATGAGCAAGCTGTCTGTGGACAGGTGTTGTTGAGTTATCTGCCGTTAAATATACTTTTTTGTAATTACATGTCAATTCAAGGAAAGACAACTTACATATATTTGCTTTTCCATTAAACATGTTACCTTTTTCAGTGGAAGAAAGTACGCTAACATTAAAGAAATTATTATTTTTTAAAATAAAAATGGTCTGAATGTTCTGAATGTTAGCCACTTTCAAAGCGTTTATTCCATCATCGGCAGCCTCGAAAACACTTTTCTGCCTTCAACGGCAGCATTTTCTCTGCAACCGACCTAGTTTGAACGCCAGTAACAGTCTCAAGAAAAAAACACTGGGTTGATTTAGCATGCGTGACTCTAAGTGGTGAATGTTAATAAAAATGGGATATTTTGAACAATAAACAATCATTTTCACGGATTTTTTCCGAAGTTGTCAAAACATTTTATGAAATGAGGAAACGAGTCCTAAATTACCTGACAGAATCTTCACTACATGGATAGCAACTCCATGACAATGAAATTTCCTTGTTTGCGAAGTAAATATACAAGCCAGATTTATTACCTACCTTTAATAATAAATAAATTTTAGATTTCTGCCATCACTGCAACAATCTGTCATCACTGGCGTCGGTTATATGGTGTGTATACCTATATTAAATTAGAATACTGTATATCATTCCAACACATATCAATTGTATAAAAGTACGTCACGTACTTTAAGAACAGAATATAACTACCCATCCTTAAATGTGAACAGTCATATTATACATCTAAAATTCCATTCAAAGTATTTAAACGCTATGTGCAATTGTATATGTAGCAAGATTTAATTTTTTCTTATTTTTAGTTGAGTGTATAAAAGAAAAACTTACTTAACGTAACGATGGCCAGGACATAGGCCCTAAATAAAAATTATGTATTTCCATACGTATCACAGTTCAGAGGAAAGTGATATTCATTTCACTGCTTTCACAACATACATAAAAAGTAAGTGCTTTACGTAATTTATCGTTTGGAACTTAATCAAAGTAATTTTCATAACAAATAGAATGTTTCAATTTTGTATAATATTCACGTTCAGACATTCCATTCAATTATTACATTTGACCTGGATTTTTGTGTTTCTATTTTAAATTACTCTGCTGAAGTATGGGGTTATACAAAATGCCAAGAAATTGAGAGAATACATCTTAAATTTTGCAAACATATTCTAAATGTTAAATTGTCCACTAGTAATGTAGGTGTTTACGGTGAACTTGCACGTTTTCCTTTATATATTAATCGCTATATCAGAATATTCAAATTCTGGCTTAAAATTTTAAATACGAAAAATTGCGTAATTAGAAAAATTTATGATTTGATGCTGGAAGATGAAAAGGTAAACTGGGCTAATAACGTAAAGAAATTATTATATTGCTATAGTTTCGGCTATATTTGGGAATCGCCGCAAAATGTTGATATTAACAGTTTCATTACATGTTTTAAGCCGCGGTTAATAGATACTTTTGTGCAAGACTGGAATAGTAGTTTGACTAACAATATAGAGGATATTTGTTTGTTTCAGTGTAAGATCGAAAAATATTTCACCGAGTGAACACCAGATGCAATATTTTCCACGAGTGGCGTAGCCACGAGTGAAAATATAATAGCTGGGGTTCACGAGTGAAATATTATTTGATCTTACATGTAAAACAAACAAATTTTCTGTTTATTTCATGATTTTTTTAACGATTTTAACACCATTTTACTGATTTTTGCCGCGTAACGTCATGCTCTTATCTTCATGACGTCATCAAATAATGACGTCACAATGTTGAAGCAAAATATAATTTCATGATTATTTTTAGATTTTAGATGTTTTTCAGCACAACGTTCGTAAATATTTACGAACTACAGTTATCACGTACATTTTTTATTATGATTGACTACATTTCCGCTGAAAAAAACATTCATTAGTGATAAATATTTTATTTTTACGCCAAATATAGTTCGGCTACTGTGAAATTATATTTGGTAATCATTACTGTGAAATTATCAGAATATAATTAACCGTTATAATTCAGTAATCTACTGCAAAACATGTAATAAAGTGTATTATTTGTTTATTAGAATGTTAAACAAGACTTTGTGTATAAGGATTACCTGAGTGTTGTTAGATCAAAAAAGTGTAGACAAGTTTTAACAAAGTTTAGACTCTCTTAACATAAACTACGTATTGAGTCCTGTAGATACGGATAGAATACATGTATGGTAGAAAAGAGCGAGAGAGTGTGCGAAGTATGTGGATCAAATGATATTGAAGATGAATATCATTTTATTTTAACATGTACAAAGTATAAAAGTGTAAGAAAACGATATATAGACAATTATTATTACGAACGTCCTAGTGTGTTTAAACTCACTCAGCTGTTTAAATCAAAGAATGTGCACTGAACAATTTAGCTTGCTATTTTAATTGTGCATTGAAAATAAGCAGTAATTTGTTAACATAGTCTCATTGCATAAATTATTTCAGTCTGTAATAGTAATATATTCCAAAGAAGTACTATAGTTTATTGCTTTTGTTTCAATGTT